GTCGACTACCTCCTCTGATTAAGTAGACTAAGGATCATGATAACCGAGATAATGGAACCATAGAATCTTGATAGGGTTCATCATCATTCCCCCTACAATCTGCTTTAAGTGTAAGTTGATAAATTTCCAATTTTAAATATTAAATTATCAAGTACCAAAACATGCTGCTATTATACGCTAGATACTATATATTTGTTTGACGACCAGCTTTAATCGAAAGTTCTCTCTCGCTATCGGGAGGGGGAATTAACTATAGAGGCTTGCGCCTATAGAAAACCAGAGCTCAAATCATAAAGTCCTCATATTAAGGGCGAAATCTCTGAGTTATGTCTTATTCAAATTCCAATCTGTTAGATCGGTTCATGCTGGATCGGTTCAGCCTGCCCTGGACAAGGGGCCGGTCCAATTTTATAAGAGGCGGACCAAGCAATCCACCCTCTTGGTTTTACCGCCGAAGGTGGGTGGGGTCCATTAGATGTTTCAAATAGGGAGGGAGGTTTGTTTTCTTTAAATAGGAAGAAAGGATTAGGATTAGGATTATGCAAATTATTGGGGTTATTCTTGTTCTTGGAGTTGGTCTCTTGGGCTCTAGCGGCATCTAGGGATTGGGAGAGAGAAATTATCCTCTCAAATTGAGGATAAATTGTATCTTGATATTTTTCTTCCATTAGTTTGATTATTGCAATAAAAACTATTGGATTCTGGTTTCTTCCATTGGTTTTGTAGATCGTTCTTGCTGTTTTTCTTTTATTGGTAATAGAGAAGATTTTGGGACTGTTCGGGAATTTTTTCAAAGAAAATCAGCGGCTGAATTTTAACCAGAAGGGTGCTGTTTTGCTATTTGGACACGAGATTCACATTTTTTTAGTCCAACAAAAATCAGGGTATCAATGGAGGCCAAGAAGCTAGATGCATTGGAGGAACGCATTGAAAGGGAGATGAGCCAAATGAAAGTGATGGTGGAAGATAGAATTTCATCCATGAAAGACAAAGTTTCCGATCTTCAAGAGATGGTGAAGAAGATGTTAGAAAATCAAATTCAGATGGTGGCATCGAAGACAAAGGGACCGGTTGGAAGAACTACGAATTCTAAATTTCGTAGGAGAGAAAGTGAAGTGGAAATCATAGAGGAGAAAGGTGCAAGGTATGGAGATAGGCGTGATTATGGGGGGCATGAACCAGGGGGTGTTGAATATGAAGAAAGGAGAGGAGAAAGCGAAGAGGGGTATGTGTATGAGTGTGGAAGGGAAGATTGGGAGACTTGGGGAGGGCCAAATACTTGGGAAAGGGGTAACTATGGAGGAATCCGGGCAAACGGGGGAGATCCGAAGGTACAGAAGCTGAAGATGCCCATTTTTGAAGGGGATAATGCACATGGGTGGATTTAAAAGGTGGAGAAAAATTAACGACAACGGGCTTATGTTTGGAAGGGAAGGCATTGTCATGGTATCAGTGGAGAGATATGAGACCAATACGGAGTTGGAGGGAGTTCAGGAATGCTTATTGGAACCTTTTCGAACCGGCAAGGGAAGGAACTTCTATGAGCAATTATTTGTAATAGTGCAGGAAGGATCAGTGGCAGATTACCGCGAGAGATTTGAGAACTCGGCCAGCCGATTAGATTGACTATAAGAGACTGTTTTGGAAGGTAATTTTATGAAGGGAGTCAAATTAGATATCAGAGTTGTAGTGAGGATCATGAGGCCTTGTGACATGGGAGAGACAATGGAGCTGACACAACAAGTGGAGCATTAGAAACACCAAGAGATGGGAGCAAGGAGCAGCAGTTTAGGTGGTTCTTACAGGATGACTACTACTCTTCTAGTACCCAAAGTTCCTGCAGCAGGAAATCTTCGTGAGACACCCAGGGAGAAGCTAGTAAGAGGAGGAATTGGGGGCAACTTCAAAAGATTGACGAAGAGGGAGATGTAGGAAAAGAGGGCGAAGGGACTATGCTTCAGATGTGATGAGAAGTATACTCTAGGGAACAGGTGTAGGGATCAAACTCTTCAGGTTCTCGCCTTCTATGATGATGAGGAAATTGAGGGAGGTGAGAGTGAGTTAAAGGGAGAGATAGAGGACAAGCTTCATCGGGATGTGGTGGAGGTCTCCCTAAATTTAGTAGTATGATTCACTCTAAAACATACCATGAAGGTGGAGGAAATAGAAGACATGGAGGTGGTGGTGTTGATTGACAGTGGGGCTACCCACAATTTCATTTTCAACCAGGTCGTGAACCAATTTGGAGTGAAATTGGTGGGTATAGGATGTTATGGAGTGACGATGGGGGAAAAAAAGGTGGAGACGGGTAAAGGGATCTGTAGAGGAGTAGTGTTGACCATATAGGAGGTTCAGGTGAGGGAGGATTTTCTCCCATTGGAGTTAGAGAAAACTGATGTTATCTTGGGGATAAAGTGGTTGCATACCTTTGAAGATAGCAAGGTCAGCTGAGATGAGTTAGGAAGGATTACGGCTGATTTATTGAAGGAGGGGAGTAGCCACCTATGGTATTCTATAGAAGGGGAGAGGCTTCTGTACCAAGGGAGATTTGTGATGCCTAGGACATCAATCCATATTCTACACCTGCTTAAGGAGTTCCATGGGAGTGTTATTGGGGGTCATTTAGGGGTGCAAAAGACGTATAGAATACTTGCCTCATAGTTGTATTGGAAGGAGATGCACAAGGATGTGGAGGAGCTGGTAGCTAGATGTGAGATCTATCAGAGGAACAATTAAAAGGATATCCCCAGGAGGATTATTACAGCCTTTAGCTTTACCAAGTCGGGTGTGGGAGGAGGTATATATGGACTTCATAAATGGATTATTCTGATTAGAAGGGTTCATAGTGATCTTGGTGGTAGTAGATAGACTATGCAAGCGTGCTCATTTAATTCCTCTACGACATCCCTACACAGTTGTACCACATATTCCTACGTAGACGTGCAGCATCAACTTTATCAGGGAGGTGGTCCAATTGCACAAGATATCGGAGTCTATAATATCAGATCGGGATAAGATGTTCCTCAATCACTTTTGGAGGGAGTTATTCAGACCACATAAGACAGTACTGAAGAGGAGCACCGCCTATCAACCCCAAACAGATGGTTAGACAGAGGTGGTCAATAGGACTTTGGAAACATACCTATAATGCTTTGTGTCGGAGACACCAAAGCTGTGGGTCAAGTGGTTGGCACGTGCAGAGTATTAGTACAACACTTCATATCATTCTGCTTTTCAGATGACCCCATTCAAAGTGTTGTATAAAAGGGATCCTCCTCATATGGTTTATTTTTGGTATAATAACACCCCAGTTTCTTTAGTAGAAGGGTATTTAATAGAGAGGGACCCGGTGTTGGAAGAATTGAAAAGACATTTATTGAGGGCCCAGCAAATTATGAAGAAATAGGTAAATGGACATATGGACATCTAATTTGAGGAAGGGGAAACGGTGTCCTTAAAGTTCCGACCTTATATGTAAAAGACCTTCGCCAATAGGAGGAATGAGAAGCTTGCACTTAGGTATTTTGGGTCATTTAAAGTGATAGAGAGGATTAGAGCAGTGACATACCGGCTGAAATTGCCATCGATAGCAACCATACATCCTGTTTTCCATGTATCACAACTGAGGAGGGTAATTGGGGATCATGTAGCGACTTTTGAGCTACCAGTGACGTTGCCAGAGAACTTGAAGGTGGTATTAGAACCCTTAGAGCTGATGTGGGTTCGTCAGGAAGATGGGGGAACTAAGGAAGTCCTGATCAAATGGAAGAGTCTACAGACTATGATGCCATTTGGGAGCTTTATGAGAGGGTGAAGCATCAGTTTTCCTCCTTTCACCTTGAGTACAATGTGATTCTTAGGGAGGGACATATTGTTAGACTAGTCCATGCTGGACCAGTCCAGCCAGTCCTGGACAAGGGGCTGGTCCAATTTTATAAGAGGCGGATTAAGCAGTCCGCTCTCTTGGTTTTGCCTCCCAAGGTGGTGGGGTCCACTAGATGTTTCAAATAGGAAGGAGGGGGCGGCTAAGGCTTAGGAGGTGGGTTTGTTTGATTTAAATAAGAAGAGAGGATTAGGGTTAGGGTTAAGCAAATTATTGGAGTTTTTCTTTTTCTTGGTGTCAGTGTCTTGGGCTCTAGCGGCCTCTAGGGATTTGGAGAGATAGATCCTCCTCTCAAATTGAGGATCAATTGTATCTTGCTATTTTTCTTCCGTTAGTTTGATTATTGAAATAAAAACTATTATTTTCTGATTTCTTCCATTGATTTTGTGGATCGTTATCATTGTTTTTTGCTTTTATTGTTGGGGTTCTTCAAGTTTTTCCTAACACAATCATCCTTAAGAAAATTTGCCTTAAAACGTACTCGTCAAAACTCTCCTTGATGACCCGAAAAAGAGAAACAGACTGAGGAGAATATGGTGCACAAATTTTGGGAGTCCAGAAGATAGAACCAATGCTAAAGCTGAATACAGGGTTATGGCTGAATTTGAATATATAATGATGAGAATGAATCCTCTAATAGGAGAATTTCACTTCTAAATAACATAGCAAATGAACCTCAACCATGACAATCAGGTCGTCATCTAGTTTGCAAGAAATTCTATATTTCATAAATAAATAAATCAAACATAATGACGTGGATTATCACCAATTAGAGCTGCAGTCTCTTCAAAAAGATCATCACTCTCAAAACATAGTGGAGTTGATATCCTTACCATGTTTCTTGGACCACATTATTATTATTATTATTATTTTGTAAAATGCTGAAACTTATAGACATATATGCTCTAGCATGAGGTGCGGTATTATCTGGCAAAATTGAAAAATATTTTTATTACTATAATGTCCTCATAATTGAATATATTCACATCTTATTATCTTCTTACAGGCACCTGTATTTAAACGATGAGAGTCAAAAACGCTTTTCCCAACAACCAATTTAAAATATAATCAACAAAATTAATGCAGTGATATGGAATAATAGAGTGAAATTTATGACCTTCTGTTTCGCCACTATGTATGGATGCAGCCATCCAAACTGACCTATCCTTCAGTTGCAGCTTAAGACCTTCGATATTTTTGTTCTCCCTTTGAGAGAGTTGGAGACCTCCAACTGCTGTAAAACGAAATAATGCATTTATATTTCCCTGCTAGTCTTTTTTAAATTCAGAAAGTTCACAAAATGTTGTAAGCACTTATCATCATATATATTTTAGAAAAAAAAAAACTAAGAATCTCCCTAAGATTTTAGAACAACGTTCTAACCTCTAACAGAAAAATGCTTTCATCATAAAAAATGAAAAAAAGCATTATCCTTGCCTAAATTCAACAAACTTAGAAGCATCATAAAGGGATTTAAGCTTACCATATTTCAAATCACCAGCGAAATTTATAATAAATGGTGGTGCATTTAGCAATTGATAACGAACTGCTTCAGTTGTACTCTGCAAAACAAAATATGAAATGCCACAATTGTTCTCCGAAAAAAAGATCTCTTCGTTTGGCGATGAGAACAGAATCATGTACCAATGCAACTATGAGAGAAAATTTTGATAGCATCAAAGCTATCAGAGGAAGTGATATCCTTAGGGACCAACGCTTGAAGGATTTGTAAGACATCCTAGCGTTCAATAATGCTACTGCAATCTGGAGATAAGATATAAAACAAAATGATTGTCATGATTAAAAGAAATTTCAAGAATAATATACAGCTAGGAATCCTAGCTGCATGTTCCATGTAATTTAGAGATTAAGAAAAAATTAATTTCTTAAATACCTATAGATTTTAGATTCTACTGCATGAATAACTTACTCCTTTTCTTGAGGCAGAAATAATGAGATTTGGCCAAAGTTCACTTTCCATAAGAATCACGGCAACAGGACTCCAGTACACAAGAAAGTTTTCCATAGCCATGGGCGTATCAACTGGAGCAAACTAGAAAAATAAGAATTTCCTGAGGATCAGAACAAATGGTGAACGAGAAGAGAAAACCAGTAGCGTAAGGAATTAATATTCTGAGCCATGATAGAATCACTGAGAAATGGCATCGGACTAGAGAAATTTGCACACTTCATTACATTTGTTCAAGAAACTAAGAAGATGGAAAATTTCATAAAGTTAATAATAAATTGCTTATAGGAACTTGACATTTAATCCTAAATTGTGTTCCAAAAGTCTATAATGCGTGACATACTAGGCTTAGAAATTTTTATCGTTATTTGTCATTTTCTCGGAAATTGAAAACTTATAAGCATCTTAGTTTTTATAATCAACAACTATGAAAAGTAATTTTTTGCCCAACAGAGCGATGATCAGAAGTTAAAGATACTAAATATTGGAAAAAAAAAAAAAAAAGTAACAGAAACTTTATTTATTCCTCTTGATCTCTAACTTTCCTATATGACTTCTCAGTAACTCTCAAACAAACCCAACAAAGGTAGGATGGAGTAGATGGTGGCCACATGTCACACATATGTTCTCCTCCCACCTACTAGCACCCCTCTGTCTTTCTATCATATGCTTTTTCTTTCACATTCTCTTTCTTCTTGTTTTTCTATGTTTTTGTCTTTCTCTCACACTCTTTCCCTCTTTCTCCTCTCTCTCTCCTCACCCACATGCTTTTGATTCTCTTCCTCCGTTCCTCATCCATGCATCTATCAATCCATTGATGATGCACATTTCTCTTTCTCACTAACCCTTATACCTCTAACTCCAGCAATCCAACAGAGGTTTGCAATAAACAACAAGGACCCAACAAAAACTAATAACTAGACTTATGGATCAGATGCAAAAGCAAAGGGAATCAGCTAATATTCATTGTGATTACATCGCCACTAAATGAGACAACACATGACACGTATTTGATGGCAGAATGCAGATGATATTACCCTTCAAGGATCCAATAAATGCTGAAGATTAAACTCGATCCATAAGCAAGGTTTTGAAATATACCAAATCACAAATCAAGTTTTCGAAACTTGAGGTCTATGATGCACAAATAAGGACATAGGGACACATACATGATACGATTTGGACACATCTATTATTAAAAATATAAGACACGGACATGCATTGGACATAGCATTATAACATTTTAAATTTTTAATTAAACAAATACATATAAATTAAATAAAATAAATAGAATAAACTTATAAAGTTATAATCTTATAAATTTTTATGCACATTGCATAATATGCACAAAGATATATACAAATTATCAAATGGCACAACTTAAAAAAATGACAGACAAAATCATAACATTAAATTGTAACTGTTTATCATTTAAAAATTATTTTAGTAATAACGTTTCATTCAGTAATAAACTAAATAGTGTTAATAGTTTAAAAATATTTATTTGAAGGGTTCACTTTCATTCTCTTTAATTATTTAGTGTTTATTTGGAGGACCTCGGGCTTCGGCATTGGGAAAAGAGGAGGTCAATCATCCCCTTGTTGGGCTTTGGGGTTGGCCTTGGTATCTAGAGGGTAAAGGATGACACTGGACTTTTGAGTCGAGCTTTGGTGTTGAGAGGGGAGAGGAAGTTGGAAAATGAGCATATAAGAGTCGAGCTTTAGAAACCAAGGGTTAGTTGCGCAGATCTTGTAATGTCAATCCAAACCCTAATCGAGTGCGAGAAAGGAAAAATTCGAGCAAGAAGATTTGCGAGAGAAGCACTGTAGAGGAAAATGAAAAATAAAAAATAAGAGTTCTTAATTAAATTCCAATTAAGTTTTTATGGAACGAGTGTTGGACACACTGTCTGATTTTTTTAATCAGACACGTGGTAGTTGAGTCTGAAACCTATTTGATCCATATCAGACACAGCATACCCCCTTAACATGAAGTGTCGGTGCATCATAACTTGAGGCCAAAAGTGCAAGGTGAAAAAAACCTCATAAACCTATAAATTAAACTTCTACGATAATATTAGAAACAAATTTCATATAGACTTCTAAATTTTTTTTAATCTTTCAAACTGAAGCATTACATTAAGAAAACTATTAGTGTGTATAAGAAAGAAAAAAAGTAAAATAGGATACCTGATAGATGACACTATTTGGAAGCTTGTCCTTGATGACCTCACTGCAAAGAGAAACCAGCTTTTGTTATTGTACAAGTACGATCCAAGGCATCCCTTTCCAATCTTCTGAGATGTCATTTTCCTCTTCAAACAATGGAAATATATTTTGAGTTAAAACCTGTCCCTAGACCTATTCCGAAGCTATGTTCTGTTCCCAAATACAACAAAATTTTACCCAAATATGACCTAAGAGAGATTATCACGAAGGCACAAGGCACAATAAAGTATGTGATAAAAACATAAATATAGTGTTCAGTGAAAAGTTATTGAGTACCAAGATCAATTATTTGTTTTATGTGATCCTCCCTATAGAATGTCTTGAAAAGTTTGCTTATTTGAGAAATAACTCAAGCATGTCACATGCATCATCATCATTAGCATTAGCCTTATCAAAACTATTTAGGGTTAACCTCATAAAGCCTCATTCTCCGATCACTTAAGTCCATCGTTGCATAAATTGTTAACTCAGTTCAACTCTTTTTCAGAACATCAATTCTTCTTTATGCATTTATTCTAGAGAAAAGTAAGAGTAATAAAAATAGCAAATTAAAAACAAAAAAAAAATGGGGAGAGATTCAACAACGTGAAAATTTATAAGTATGCTCAAATTCCAGTATATCGTAGCGATGAGATGAAAACAAAATATAAACATTGCTTGAAACTAAATTTCACTAAGCACTATCGCATTCAATTTCATACATAAGTTATATATATACTCACTTTAAGTTAAAAAGTACCAGTGCAAACCCAAAACGATGGCAGGTTGAATGTTAGTCTACACAAGTTCTATATTATACGTGTATGATCTAGCATATCTATATTCGGAAAAAGCCTTTAAGGGCTTGCGTAAGGTAGTCTAAAAAAAAGAGATTAAACTGTCATTCAATTTAAAATATTGGCGTCAGATATTGGGGTTGTTCAATTTGGTGAAAACTTAAAGTAAGGTGGTTCCAAGCAAAGTGATTTTTTTAAGTGTGGTTTGAAAATCAGTTGCAGCATGACTATTTGATAGTAAGTTTTCTTCACAACTATGAGGTAAAGTATGCGGCCAAATCTTTGTCATTTATTTTGTAGGGCTTTATTTAACATTGCTTTTTTCCCCCAGCTTGAATTCAACCATCATATCTAGTAAATATCATAGAAAAGAGTTCACAAAAAAGAAACTAATCTTCTCATGACACCCTCCTCCAAGTGGCTCTAGGCTTCTGAATCCAGATAATTCCACCGATCACCAAATGGACCTATAATAAATGGCCGTGGAAACTTCGTCCATTCAGTCCTCATTTAAAACTAAATTGCAACATCACAAAACAACGATCTTGGAATTGAAAACTCCCCACCAAATTCCATCATTACGATATTCCATGATGAGAGTATAAAAAAATGAGACGAGTACTTACAAAGCTGAAACTGTCGTGGTGGTCATCAAGACAAGGACATTAGGGTATTCCTGCAAACAATGCTTGATCACGGGAATGGCGGCCAGTCCTTCACCTGAGAGTCCAAACTTCAAATTAGAAGAAAGAGAGACTGTAACACCTAAAAAGGTAGAGAGGAGGAGAAGGAAACACCTAAAGATACGGCATGAAACCAGATGAGAGAGCCGGGGGGACGCGGGGTTGTAGGGCGGCCGAAGCGCTCCATCCATCTTGACCGGTGCTCGAGGCCACGAAGCCGTCTCCAGTGGATGTGCAGGTATACAAACGGGGCTATTGCTCGACTCGCCGCTCTGTAAATGTCATATAGTGCCCACCCCCACTTTGCTGACATAGTACCAACTGCGCCGTTTGTCGTCAGCCAGAAGGCTTATAAACGTACACCACCGCCACAATCCCACTACTTGGGTTTTAATCTTTTATCTCCATTGTGCATATTAAATATCAAATTCTCGTTTAAATCTAATAAAAAGGTCATTCCTAATATTTTTTAATCAAATCTTTTTAGGTCTGCATCTACCTTTCTTAACATAAGTCAAATCTACTACCTCTACTCTCCTAACCGGGTCATTGGAAAGACGCTGTTTTATGTGACCAAACCATCTAAGGCGACTCTCTCTAATATTATCTTCTACTTGAGCTACTCCAACCTTTTCACGTATATGCTCATTTCGTATCTTATCTCTAAGGGTAAAGCCACTCATCCACCTGAGCATCCTCATCTCTGCCACACTTAACTTAGTATTATGCTTCTCTTTTAATGGCCAACATTCAGCATCATAAAGCATTGCCGGCCTCACAACCATCTTATAGAATTTTCTCTTAAGTTTGAGGGATACTTTTCTATCACACAACAAGCCCGATGCATTCCTCCACTTCAACCATCCAACTTGAATTCTGCTGATAATATCCCCATCTATTTCACCATCACTCTGAACAATAGATCCAAGATATCTAAAACGTGTACTCTTATTAATGACTTGATCGCCCAAAGTCACAATCCTCTCACTAGGTCTATTACTACTAAAATTACACTCCATATATTCTGTTTTAGATCTACTCAAGCGAAAACTTTTAGTCTCTAATGTTGACCTCCACAATTCAAGTTTACTTTCAACTCCCTCTCTAGTCTTATCAAATATCATCAGCAAAAAGCATACACCAAGGTACATCCTCTTGCAAGTGTCTAGTGAGAACATCCATGACTAAAGCAAAAAGATATGGGCTTAAGGCTGATCCTTGATGTAACCCAACCGAAATAGGGAAATACTTTGTCAAACCACCTTGTGTTTGAACACAAGTAATAGCTCATGCATACATATCTTTAATGATTTGAATATAAGCATTATTAACTCCTTTCTTTTCAAGAACTCTCCATATCACTTCTCTTGGAACTTTATCATATGCTTTTTCTAAATCAATAAATATCATATGTATATCCTCATTATTTTCTCTATATTTATCCATCAAACCTCTTAATAAGTGTATGGCTTCCATAGTCGACCTACCCGGCATGAATCTAAATTGATTTTGAGAAACATTAGTATCACGCCGCAACCTATGCTCCATAACTCGCTCCCATAGTTTTAAAATATGACACATTAACTTAATTCCTCTATAATTCGCACAATCTTGTGCATCACCTTTATTCTTAAAAATAGGAATTAACACACTCATTCTCCACTCATCTAGCATCTTTTTAGTCTTCAAAATAGTATTAAAAAGTTTAGTAAGCCAAGAAATTCCTTCATCTCCTAAGCCTTTCCACGCCTCTATTGGAATATCATCAGGTCCAACAGCTTTACCACCCTTCATTTTTTTAAAGCCTCTCTAACTTCGGTTTTATTAATACATCGATAAAAAAAAAAAATCTTTATTTTCATTTAGGGTTCTAGGTTCACTATAGTCAATCTTATTTTCACACTTTTCATTAAAAAGTTTAGCAAAATATCTCATCCACCTTTATTGAATATCATCTTCTAAGAAAATTATTTTTTAATCTTCATCCTTAATACACTTCACTTGAACTAAATCCTTACAACTATCTCTTTGCTTGGCTAACTTATACATATATCTTTCTTCCTCCTTAGTATCTAATCTATTATATAAATCACTAAAAGCTAAGGTCTTTGTATTTCATATTGCTTTTTTAGATTCCTTACGAGTCTCTTTATAAATGTAGCTGAATGTAAAAAAAATGGGGGATTTACATGCATGCCACTCAACGCATCTCTACTTCTCACGTTTAAAGATTTATTTATATTTGCTCATCCATGAACTAAAATTATTTTGAAGTCATGACATGAAGAGTGCTAACTCGACAGAACCTAAACCATCCCAACTCTGTGCGACTTCCAACCGTAGAATCTTTGTAACCACTGGTAGATCTAAGGGCATTTCCAACCGAAAATCTCTTTTTTCAATCCAAAATACATTTAAATTCAAAAATGTCGTGATCCATCTTCAATCGAACTTCATTTTGCAAGCTTCTATGAAGGTAACCATCTTTCTCCTTTTTCACGGGTTTCTTCGACAAATCCGGTTGAGACAGAAAAATCACGTAGGTGATATATAGTTAGTTGCTGGTAGCTACCTGTTGCAATTTTGTGTGAATATTGTTTATTATATTTTGATTCGGTCTAATTTCATAGTTTAGACTAAATTATATTTCGGGCTCATAGATTTCTATGTCATGAAACCTTTTACAGGACGTGTAGTTAGGGTTTGACCTTTCTGATCTTATCCTAATGAGTTGATACATAAATATTAAGAAGGATCACATATTTGAATAATCTTAACTATGTAAAGTTCAATCGACGTTGATAAAATATTTTTTACGAGTAAAGCTACTTCCACCTAAAAATATAACAGTAAACAAGAATTATTATGATAAATTAAAGAGTGCTAGATATATGTGCCAGCTTAGATTTTATTTAGGATGGCATTTTTACTCTATTTTTTAATTTTTTACAAAAAAACTACTTTAACAAGAAGTAAGAAAGCCCTCCCAAATGAAGTCTTAGGCTTTGTTTGGGACGGCTTTCTTTTTGCTTTCTAAAATAGTATTTTAATACAAAAATTTCTTGAATTTGAAAATTTGGTGCTTAAAATTCTTTTTAGAAAGCAATATGAAAGTTGTCCCAAATGAAGCCTTAATCTTATGGTTGAGAGCTTCAGCTTCATTATAAAGATAGCGGAGCCTGCTCTTTACCTCGACCCACACAGTCTGATGGAGATCGCTCTCACCTCTCTGCTGATTGGCATACTTTCCCTCGACATAGACAGAGACGGGTGAGACGATAGCGATAAACAGACTGAGGTAATGTTGATTTCATCTTAATCTTTTATAATATAACGATAACTCTTTCAAAATATGAAGAATAGACGTAATAAACTGTAATTTTATTTTTATTTTATATTTAATATTCTACCTTCTTAAATAATAATTTGAAGAAAAAAAAAATAAAAACTGCCTATACCAATCCCAACCCCAGATGTAAAAAGTTGAGGAAAAATTTAAAAAAATTAATTTAGGCTCTGTAAATACATTTTCTAGCTCCGCCACTGGGTGAATGTGGGACGCCACTGTTCACTCGCAAGCAAATAATGGAAGATTTGACATTCAATTGGAGCGACCAAATGACGTCATACGCATGTTTAGCGTTCGGTTGGAGATGCCCTAAGCGAGGGGCAGTTGGGGTCGTCCCCTCCTTAAAAAAATAGTGTCTAATTGAAGATTTAAACCAAAGAAAAAATAATTTGAACATATGAGGTAGGCAATCCTAGGTACTTCATGCATGAATTAAAACTAGTGTACTATTATAACACGCTATGTTGAATTCTACATATATATCGAGCAGTCCAATCAACAACATGATGATGAACAAAGCAATTTCCACGGCATCGCATACTAATCTATAAAAAAATATATATAAAAATGTAGCAAATCCTAATAATTGATAACTATGAGCTTTTTTCACTTTGCCCAAAATTTATTTCAAAATAAAATCGATCATGTTATTAGTATCATACAATTTATAAATAAATTAATATTATAGAAGTTGAAAGCAAATGTAGAATTTCTGAAAGCCTAAATAATAACTTTGTTTTTATTTTAATTTTAATATACCATAATCGATATTTATTTGATTTACAAATGATTTATAAATTTAGACAAAATAATTATTGCTAGTGTTTGTTCTTTTTTTTTTTTTGCTTCAAAATTGCTTATGCTGGTCCAAGCTTGGAAGCAAAAGTTAATGGAAAGTTTGTTAAAATAAATTTGGGACAATTTTTTGCTGCTTCTTAGAGTCGCTTTTTAGTACAAAAATTAAAATTTTTTTACTAGAAAGTTGTTTTAATAAGCATTAAGAAAGTTGTCCCAAATGAAGCCTTAGGCCCCCACCAAAAAATTTTTTTGGCTCCACCAATTGCAATGCCACTTCATGATGATGAAAAAAAAAAAAAAACAAACACAAATATGACTAGATATTCTATTAAGTATTAAGTAGCATATATTATCTCACTTGAGTTTATGCTACTTGGCTTTCTTCCTTGCATATGCAGCTTTTCCTGAACCATTGCTTGTTGTAACTTTTAAATTTGTTGAACACTTGATTGGGGAAAAAATGTGAAGATGGGAAATAGAAAACTATTAAGCTTTAAGAAATATTTAATCAAATTTTAATGCTCAGAGAAGAGATTGAAGCATTTGCACTTGTCTAAGAGTCTATAGGTTTAAAATACACCATGTTTTCATAACATTGCTCAAATAGTACATGCTTATCGCAAATGACATTAAGGTGATGGAGATCATCAAATAGCCCAGAGGATGTTGTCAAGTTGAGGTAGTTGTCATAATAGAAGAAAAACAAAATATCATATGTGTTCACAAGGTTGATAGTGGAATATATGAGTACTATATTGAATCTAACAACATTGAGCATGATTTAAATTGTCAATGATTGGTTTTCAAGTTGTCAAGATTGAGGAAACTTAGTATTATCAGTTAGTTCACCCTTTTGGTGATGATATGGGTTTCAAGAAATTTCTTTAATTTGAAATACATTGTGAATGATTAAGGAATTAAGATCAAAGCTAATGATAGAACCTAACTCATAATTACTAGTTCAATTCACACCAAGAATATCCATGAAAAATATGAGTGTCACTGTATGTATAAATGGGTAAACTTTAGTAGTGAGAAAATTAGATGCGGCATGCTTATGCACGTGTGACAGTTGACCTAGAAACATAAAAGCGACATCCACTTGGGTAACTAATCAATACAAGACCATGAAGAAGGATCAGGACATCTCTCCAAAACATATTAATAATAGCTTAGAAATGCCATAATATTGTATTACATAATTGGATAAGTGAATGATAAT